AACACGCAGACCAAAAAAAATAGTTTCAAGTGCCAAAAAGAAAAATGAAAATCACAGCTTTACTGCTAGCGGGATTGCGCGGGATCACAGCAAAAATGTCACGAAAAAGAGTAAGTAGACCGACGTTGTCTGCTTTACTGCTGGCGGGATTGCGGATCACATCACCAGGAAATCGACAGTAGCGCCCCCCAACCACGCAACGTTGTCACGTCTTACATATGTAACTGCTGGCGGCGATTGCGGATTACACCCATGGAGCGCAATAGAGCGAGCAGGATAAAATTGTCTCCTTAAGCGGCTGTGTTAAGTCTATTGCGCCGCGCAATAGGGATATCCTGCAGCGCAATAGACTTAACACAGCCGCTATTGCGCTCCATGTGACTGCGGCCTTACTAGCGTTAGACAAAATTAGGTAATATTAGGCAGAGGCTTAGCATTATTGGGCAAAGTTTATTAGTTCAAAGTATTAATTCGGATTTTCATGGCACAGACATTTCGAACTTGAATGCTTACAATGCTCAAAGCTCTTTAATGTTTGTTTACATGCTCTAATAAAGGGCCAGGAATGCAGCCTCTGCATTGGCTCGGAACTACTTAATACAATAGCTTGTAAATACTCATTACTGACTTCGTATAGATTTTTTTATAAAAAAAAACTTCATTCAATATAATTAAACCTTTTTTTATCATAAAAACGTGACTGCAGATCTTGATGGCCAGGGTTCAAATCCCACTCTGGACAAAAATTTCCATTAAATAATGAGGTTTTTTTGTGAATGGGATTTGAGCTTCAAAAATCCTACCGATTTACCAACTGTTTGTGAACCATTGTATGACGAATTTAAAAAAAAAGACGTGACATTGGGTACTTTTTTTTGGAGTCGGTCGGTCAATCCGATTCCTCAAGAATGTATAACTGTGTACTATGAGAGCATTCCAAATGACGCGACAGTGTCACGCATTCCTATTTAAAACCAATACTGATGTGTCGCATCATTTGGAATATAGACGAATAGAAAATCCCCTGAAATAAAAAGTTGATGCTCGAAGGGTCGTTTTTGATATTATACGTAATTCAATGCGTAGATTACGATAAAAACACTTAAAACATTGAAAACTCTCTTGGAAGCCGTAAAAACAGCGTTTAAAACTTATTTTTCTAATATCTCGTGAACGGTAGAAGATCTAACGAAAATAAAAATACCAGCGTGTAAAGCGGAAAATTTCCTACCGATTTGGTATTTTACTTTTTTTCGGTCTCGCTGAAAATTTCGAGGTAAAAATTATTGAAGGTATTTTTTCCTCAATGCTACAAGAGAAAGTAAGACAGAGAGCGCGGGAATAAATAGTTGTGTGCTCCAACGATCGATGGCTGCTCCTCGCATGTATATAGATATATACACTGATGAATATAGTCGGAGTCGTTACATACATTTAATGTCGTTAGATGGTAACGTTTGAATAAAATAAAGACCAAATAATATAGTGTATTTATGTTACATATATTTTTGATACAAATTAATTTGTTAATAAGTAAAACAGTTTTACATACTATTTCTTTTATTACAGTTTTGTAAGCTATAGTACACGTGCACGCAACAATTTCAGGGTAATTTTTTAAATAATTAATTCATAGNTAATATACACAAAAAGGTTTCAACTCAATTCAAAGTTTTGCTGTAAAATATTTATTTTTTTCGAACATTTTTAGTATTGAAATATTTTTCTGGAAACTACATCAAGTTTTTGAAGAGATCCTTTAACGAATTCAATGTGACGTGTCACATGAAAAGTCAATTCCATGTTTGTGTACTCACCATGCTAAAACACCATCATTTTAATATTTTAAAATCAAATTAACTTGGGCACTTAATATTATTCTTACTTACAATGACACAAAAACAGATTTATCCTTCAAATTTAAACGAGTTTGTATGAAAATAATATTTGTCTGTGTACCTCCTAACAATGTTTTGCTTATGACGTTTGTTTTAATGTAAGGGTATCAAGTAAAATGCAAATAATTAGAAGAAAATTTTATTTGATGCTGATAAATATAAGAAAAATTGTATACAACATACAGGGCTAATATATTTGAATTTTCGGCTCACCACTTGAACTTTCAGCTAAGAAACTAAGTAGGACAAATTTCGGCCGTCAGTCGATCTAAAAACGCCTCAAGAACACATATATAGCTATAGCTATATAGCTCTGATCCTCTCCCCCTTCTCCACGACTCTCCGGCTGATCGGCTTCGACACACAGTGTGTCTCCTGTCTCACTTTCTCCTATGGCATTGAGGAAAAAATACCTTCAATAATTTTTACCTCGAAATTTTCAGCGAGACCGAACAAAAGTAAAATACCAAATCGATAGGAAATTTTCCGCTCTACACGCTGGTATTTTTATTATCGTTCGATCTTCTACCGTTTACGAGATATTAGCAAAATAAATTTTAAACGCTGTTTTTACGGCTCCCAAGAGAGTTTTCAATGTTCTAAGTGTTTTTATCGTAATTCAATGATCACTTTCTTGTAGGTTTCTTAAAATTAAACATTGTATGTCACTAAACAGTTTAATAAAGCAGCAATAATCTGCGTATAAGATTTTTCCTTATTATTTGCTAAAATTATTTACGCAGTGTCTAATTACATTACGTGGATATAAGCAGATTAACGCATGCGCGGTCGGCTGTTCTACTGTTGGTACTTATAGGATCCAAGTTTATTTTCTTTTCAGAGCGAGGCGCATGCGTATATTCACATAATTTTCGTAATTACGTGGATATACGTGCGAATAGACTCTGCGAATTATTTATCGTCATTTTCGATCCAAAATCGTTGATTATACATATATACTGACCATAACCTCTACTGTAGTACTGTACAGTAGATTTGTGTTAGTATACATACATACATACACATACCCTGGCCAGGCCCTGTTCATAGCCTTCGGTCTAATTCATTACACTGTGTGATAAACTCTTTATTTAAGCCTGCCCAGGCCCTGGTCTTAGTCTTCGGATCACGTTCTTGTCGGGATAGGTTTACATTCTTGAGGAATTGGACCAACCGACTACAAAAATAGCGTACTCATAATCGATCACACGACACTACTACAATTACCACAACTCTTCACCAAAATGAAATATGCCAAAAATATTTCGAATCTCCACAAATTATGNTATATATTACATCGCTATACTACACCAACACAGGTGGTCTGGTCTGGTGGTGTACCCTCGTATGCACTAGACTGGTCAAAACAATAATTAATTTTTCGTACAAAGTTAAACTACACACATAAATATCATTTTTCCCACTTCATACGTTATTAAAAATATCATAATGATTTTCAGACACATTTGTTAATTGAAAAACAAAACTTTATTTTTTGTTTGTCTTTGACCTCAGCAGTAGTCGTAGGAGCCCCCTTAACCCTACTTTGAGCTGTTTGTTTATCTCTGAGCATCAGCAGCAGTAGCGCAGCAGCAGCAACAGCTGAAATAAACAGCTCAAAGTAGGGTTAAACGGCACTCCGTATACGTTCAAAACGCTGTTTCAACCTTCATAAACGAATTCACCAAACGAAAAAATTACTACGTAATTCTCATTATGTCAGTAACATGGAATTAACAACCTTTTTAAGCTCAATATCTTTTTAAGTGCGAAAAAAAAACAAAAACAAGATTCCTCCCGTAAGACCTGTGTTATTTCTCCTCTACATTAGTCATGTATATACTGAGGTCACGTGGTAGAAGCATAATCCCAATAGGTATGCTTTTCACATTTTCCGTATAGCCATGCCTCCCTCCTCACAATAATTTTCAGCTCACACATTAATAGACGTTCCGCTAATATTTCTCTATCAATAACTTCTGCCACAAAATATGAACTGATAAAGAACTAAAATTTATTTTTTTTTTGTAGGCAAGTTATACAGATCCTCTAACTAAGCTCAATTACGCTAATACAGATGAATTTACAATAATTAGAAATCTGCCAATGAATATTACTGCTGGATATTTAACTCTGAGAGGTGCATCTTGTTCTGTTGGATGAATTTTATCAGTGATTTGCTGTAATGACCACAAAATCTTAAAGAATAAGTTCATTCTCAAATCTAAATATAATAAAGTTTATGTAATTTGGTTAAACAAAAATAAACTTCCATTGATATATGTATTCTTACAAATTTTTTTATACCTCATATAAATACGAATACCTTTCAATTTCCTTTTTCAAAAATTAAGCTTCAGCATTCTCTAATAGCTAAAAATTTGAAGTTGACACGCAACAGTTTCTATCAACCACCACAAATATATTTATACCATTGACTACAGGGACAGTTTACACAAAGGTCTCATTTTTTGAGGATGCTCCCTTGGGTTTGATATAAATATGGAAATTTAATTTCCCTTGAGTTTTTTTGTACAATATTATTTTATTTATCGAATAGTTTTTAATGATTAAAACATGCACAATAATCTGGACAGTTAAATAGTACTGTAAAACATTAAATTTTAACATTTCAAAAAGTAATCCATGCTGATGAAACAGTAATAGGAACATAAATAACATTAGAATAAATTTCCAAGTCGATATATACCTAACTCAAGTAAGTGAACGTAGTTAGTACTCAAGTACAATATAATATACACAAAAAGGTTTCAACTCAATTCAAAGTTTTGCTGTAAAATATTTATTTTTTTCGAACATTTTTAGTATTGAAATATTTTTCTGGAAACTACATCAAGTTTTTGAAGAGATCCTTTAACGAATTCAATGTGACGTGTCACATGAAAAGTCAATTCCATGTTTGTGTACTCACCATGCTAAAACACCATCATTTTAATATTTTAAAATCAAATTAACTTGGGCACTTAATATTATTCTTACTTACAATGACACAAAAACAGATTTATCCTTCAAATTTAAACGAGTTTGTATGAAAATAATATTTGTCTGTGTACCTCCTAACAATGTTTTGCTTATGACGTTTGTTTTAATGTAAGGGTATCAAGTAAAATGCAAATAATTAGAAGAAAATTTTATTTGATGCTGATAAATATAAGAAAAATTGTATACAACATACAGGGCTAATATATTTGAATTTTCGGCTCACCACTTGAACTTTCAGCTAAGAAACTAAGTAGGACTCTGGACAAAGTTGTACTTTTGCACTTTGAAGTGTAACTTTATTATTTTTTATGTTTCAATTTATTTTAATTAACTAATCAAACTATTTTAAAATCTTTTATAAAATCGGGTCAGCTACAATTACATGAAATGATACATGTAAGTAATAAATACTAACTATTGTTTTAATTATTCAACGTAAAAAAGTATTAAAGGATTTTTCACTTATATAAAATTGATGTGTGGAAATTTTTGTTTTACTCTAAATCTGGCATGTCACCATCATCACTATCTTGTCCATCTGCTTCATCCAGAACTATATCATCAAAATTTGGTTTAATGTTATCTTTGCCTCCAAGATCTCCCATTTGTCGAACCATCTAAAAATATTTTGTTCATTAATTGTATTTGATATAATTATACTTAAGTATAAATGTTACATTACATCTTCTAAGCTTTGGCCCATGCCATTCCCGTATTCATCATCACTTTCTTCTTCATCCTGCCACTTGTTGAAATCATTTTTAAGCCAGTGGAATTTTCCAATTTCTTTTGGAAGTCTTGGCCAAAAAGGTCCACTTTCTTTTTTGTATAAAACTAAGTCAATGTGTCTGCCTTCAAAACACTGTTCTGTCTTTTCTGGATCAATTTCTTTGAATAAATTTATAGTTACTTCGTATATTTTCTTGTCTGTTCCACTAATGCCCTTAAAATATAGTTCATCAGCTTTGGTGACGATAGTTGGATCTTTACAGTCTTCTAAACAAATCGTTATATACAGCTTATTGATTCTTTGAGCCCACATCACTAATGGTGGTATACTTCTACGGGAAAAAAAAAATGTAATTACAGATCATGTTTACAAACATTATTAACAGGTTCACATGTATCGGGTGTAGCAAACACTCATTGTATAAAGTCCAGCTCAATATAGATCTATTTGTATAAATTGTGCTAATCTTTATACAAGTCTTTCTCAATACCACATATCGTGAGGTTAGTATATCTCTAGAAACGACTTAGGTTATTGGGTTATTCTTGTTTTCAACAAGACTTGACTTGTTCAATGAAGCTACTAGAGTGAGGACTTTCATGTAAGCTGCTGACCATTGACAAAAATATACATTCCGGCTTTAGTAACACATAAGGTGCTCTGAACCCAATGATGGAAAAACTGAGTCCAACAATATCTTCATGTCTAACTTCGTGGTAACACATGTTTAACATGAAGCTTTATGGTCTGTTAATAATAAATTCTTAGGCCGCGGGCACATGGAGAGCGTAACACGTACCGCGTAACCATTTGGGCCCATAAGAGTGAAAGAGAGGTAAAGTACGCGAACCTCTCTCTCACTCTCATGGGCTCAAATGGTTACGCGGTACGCGTTACGCTCTCCACGTGAGCGGGGCCTTAGTTCTTTGCAATAAATTCCTCGATATTCAAATCAATTGGTTTTATATGGGTGTAATGTGACTAAGTTTGACAATAAAACGACATAAAATAGATAAAACATTGTATTAATAGTGTCTAAAATCGTGTGCATTGTGAAATCCTCAATAAAAAGGATATTTTAAAGGTCAGCACTTACTATGTAAGCTTATTTGTAAAAGGGACAAAAAAATTAAAGATGATCAACTGCACGATAGGTTTTCCTCAATTCAACTCAGACATGGTGTCAAGTATCTTGAGGACTCAAAGATGATAAAATGTTATGATGATGATTCATTAAAATTATTACATTACATTAATAGTACAAGAAATTAACATTTTTTAATAATACAGCAGTTATTCTTTATAATGAAAATTTGAAATGTAAATTAATGTTGGTCAAGTTTTATACAAGCAGTCAAACAATATTATTGTGGCAGTTATAGCAAAAACTGCTTTTTCAGAAAAGTAAGAGTTTACTAAGAGCCTGTAGGAGCCTGACTAATAATAAATTGCAACCACGCCTTAAAACTAAAATTAAGTCTCAAGACGACTTCTTTATCGTTTCACCATATAAGATAACAATGTTAGCCACAATTTGTTTATGCTGTTTGAAACATGCCTGTAGTCCAGCGTGCTGATTCATCACATTAACAATTTTTCACCTTGCTCACTGAGGTCTCATCAGATCGAGTTCCCCTTTTGAGAATAGTCACATAAATAATAAATAAACAGTGCTCAGGTTTCATTATCAAGATACTTGATAATTAGCAAGTTTACTTTTTGGGTAACAGTACATTAGAGTCCATGGGGGTAAAACAAGTTAGTTTACTTTTTGGGTAACAGTACATTGGAGTCCATGGGGGTAAAAGAAGTTTCTCAATGAGACATAAAACCGTTGGTCATTTATTTATTAAATCATGATTGTTTTAAGGAAAATTCGTTCTGATTAACACTCAGCAAGTAAAACCAATAACTATCATAGAATTGTCGGTACAGTAATCGTGCATGCCCCAAACTTTAAACAAACATAAATGACATTAATAATGCATTACATGTTTTCAACTTTCTTTCTACATAGAGCAATTTAAGGAAACAAGTGCTTGCGTCTGGAAGATAAATTAATCTTTGGTTAGCACAAACATGGCGCGTGACCATGCCTCACAATAACAGTGGTCTGGCGTCATAGATGTTTTTCCCAAATAAAACAGAAGCACAACTGTTAGTCGCAATGTTTAATCGGTAGACTTCAACAACTACCGTAATGTATCCGTCAGAATACTTACTGGCCGTCCTGGGTCATTGTGTTATTGGCGAAATGACTTACAGCGGGAACGACTCGATTAGCCTAGTTAGCCGTACAAAATAAGCTTTTTACTGAAAGGTTTCTCAACAATTTCGACAGCTTGACCTACCAAGTGCAACCATAGAGATACAGATAGAGTCATAGACATATCAGAAAAATAGACTGCTCGTTCTTATGTACAGCGCTGAAGCACAAGTAGAAGGAGAAACATCATCGAACTTGGATACCTGTCGCACATTCCCACCTTTGGCAATGTGCGAGAGAGATAGATACCCATGTTCGATGTTGTGTCATCTACTTGTACTTTAGCGCCGTACATAAGAACGAGCAGTCTATTTTTTTTATGTCTATGATTGCAACTCGGCAACAGCCAGGGATGGGCATGTCGTAAACTCAATTTATTACACGTCATTTATTATATTAACGGTATATCACAAATATGAAATTATTACATGTAGTGAATTACGCAACATATCATGAAGAGTATAGTAACGACGTTAACGTCTCAACCTTTCTCAAAAATCGAGACCTAAGTTTTTCAAACGTGAAAGGACTTCAATAACCTTCATCAGAGATAGGATCTCTTATGTATCCGTTTCCAAGAAAAGAATTTAACCGTTTCCCTTCGCGTAGCCACCTCGGATCCGAGAATTGAATGAAACACGTCTGCGACGTCCACCTAGCTGTCCCAGAACCAGTACTTATTTAGCAGAGAAAGAGTTGTATTGAAAGTGTATGATCAATTTTATACTTCTTTTAAAAGCAACTAAAAGTTTTGCGTCAGTACACGAGCATATACGAATGTTTTATTAGGTTTTCATAACCAAAAATTCACTTTTGTGAAACCCGTGTCATTTATTACACGAATTACATAATTTCTACGTGACATGTCGTAAATACTTCCTGACCAGATTTACCCATCCCTGGCAACAGCACAAAGAGAGATAATTACCAAAGTAAATGAGTAGAGGGCATAAACGTATAAAAAATGTAGACTGATCGTAGTGATCGTTCTTACGTACGCGGTACGGTGCTCATATAGACATATAAAAGAATTCGCTGTGAGGATCTAAGGATGAAGACCAGCAGCGCTCCAGCGGATTTTCTCCAAGACCCAAACGTGTCGTGAGCAGACGGTTATGCCGTGATACATACGAACTCGGTGACATAAAGGACGTATTCCAAATGACGCGACGCTTGGGTGTCGCGTGACACATTAGTATTGGTTTCAAATAGGAATGCGTGACACTGTCACGTCATTTGGAATGCTCTCAAATATTCATTGCAATCATAGACATATAAGAAAAAAAGACTGCTCGTTCTTATGTACGGTGCCCAGTGGGGTATTTTTTTTTTTTTTT